ACCACCAGCAGGGGTTGCCACATATATCCGTCCTCACAGCTCTCCAGCTACCGAACTGTACCTGATCATTTGGTGTTCGATGTGAATGTACGTAGAAGTCGTCTCTGAGCATCGTTCCTGTCTATTGGCTGTCAACACCCACATATGGACAGCCCCAGGGTGATGGCATCCTCGCTCCTTAAAACACAGATATATTACACATAGCTGGTACTTAGACGCAAAAGAAGAAGAGGGAAAAATTCTGTTTGTATTTCCATTTCAGCGAAAGAGATTTCATTCAAGATCTCCTATTCCCAGTATAAAAACTCTCTGATGGATGACAGGAAGATCCTAGTGACCGCCGTGTGTAAAAGCAAACGGGGAGCCTCGCTTCTGGTGGAGAAGGACATTGTACTTCAGGATCCTTTTCTCACCATCAAGGTAAAAGATGTGTCCCTAGAGAGACGTGTTGAGAAGCAGCAACTAGAATCCTCACTCCATCTACTCCTCATGGGAAGGAGTGTGGGAAGGGAAATCATGCCTGAGGGTGATTTGACCTTGCTGCTTTAGTAATGTGCCGTATGACATAAGTGTAATGAAACACACCAAGGAAAAGCAACCCTTTCCAAGGCACAGCTGTGCTATGGCATTCTTGGCAGTGCTTGTTGACACACCATTGATCAAGTTCTCGGTGTTATGAGGTTACAAGGTAAGATCTCCAAAGAGAGACAGAGAGGTCTAGTCTGTATCTAGGCCTCCGCTTTTGTCAGGGAAGTCTGATCACTCTCTTCCAGTTTATTTAGAAAGCCTCATTTTTAGCAAAGACATCTTCACTGACTAGCTGATAAGGCCTGGGGCTGCGAGGCTGATTACTAATACTCAAGGAAGTTCTTTCACTTTATCAGGAAAAGTGGCACTTATCACCTTCTGGAACATCTTCCCAAATGTTTAATAATTAGAACTGGAGGCTTTCTTTTCCACTTAAGACTGACTTCTGGCAAATGTTGTACAATGAATAAACAGCAATTCTTAGCCTACAGGAAAGACCAGGCGCTACGTCTGCCGGGGGACAGTCCTGGCTTTGCCTGGCTCATCACATCCACATAAACTCGTTTAACTTGTTTTGCACAGTTCAACACATTCACATACTGTATCAGACCTGGGCTCAAGTGCTATCTGCCTGCTGTACTGTAAACAACATAGAGGGAGTACAATAATTTGCAGAGTCTTTCAGAGCCTCCAGACTAGCTTAGCCATCCCAAACCACTCCGCCAGCAGCATACAGGAAAAGCAAAGTTACACACAGGAATAAAAAGTTTGTAGGTTTTTGTAGGTCTGGAGGTTTCTGAATACCAAGTTCTAGTGAGACTTCGTAAAAAGCCTTCTGTGCTGTATCATGTAAATAACAGAGTCAGTTTATAGGGGGCAGGCATCCGGATTAAATTACTTCAATTCAGTGACTAAGTTTCAAGAAATATTTATGTTTCTGTTGATTGAAACTTCTTTATAAACGTACAGTCAATAACAGAGAAATGCACTTGGGGTGCTGGACTTCTCCATTATGTTAATTAATATTACATAATCTACTTTATATACAAAGATAATCAGATATGCCAATTCCACTTTATCTCAGTCAAATAAGTATTGAATATGTTTATTTGCTACCTCGCATCCTATTTTTTTTTTTTTTGCCTGAGGTGTCACTCAGGCGTCCCTCCCCTCTGTCTCACACCTCCAGTGTTTTCTAATCCTAAACCTTTCATTTAGCCTAACTAAAGCTAATTCGACTTAAGCTGCCTACGGTAGTTAGCCATATGTGCCAATACTTGTATTCTCATTCTGTTCTCACTCTTGTTAGTACCATATACTGTGTTATACGTAACACCATACACTGACCTAGTTAAAAACTTAGGACTAAATGGTAGAGTCTACAGTAGTTTTCTCAGCAACACTGGATGGCTGATTCAAGCCTGAACTCTGATGCCCAAAAATATGTATGTATGTTAATTCCTGGCTCCTTCCTGTCCAGGAGATCCTAAGAGGGTAAGTGGTTTGAAATGGGAATGGAAAGAGAAAACCATGAGAAAGAAGTGAGATTAATGCCGTGGCTGAGCAGAACGTTCTCTCTCTGTAGGTCCTTGGTCCAACAGTGGTACACAAGCCTGTTAATGTGGAGGTCACCTTTACCAACCCACTGTCTGAAGTGGTGACAGACTGCGTGCTGAGAGCAGAAGGCAGTGGGCTGCTCAAAGAGCAACTCCGAATCAGGTATGTATATGCTATCCCGCTAATAACTCGTTCAGTTTGGTGGGAAATCTGCAATAAAAGCGGGGTTTTTAAAAAGATTCTGTCAACCTCGTGACTTCTGTTTGCACCAACCTTGGACAAAATGCCATCATATCAGTACCCTCCATATACTAGTTGGGTTTTTTTGCACCGCCTTTGCCAAGCTTTGCATTACAGAATGCTCAGGGAGTGGAGTGCTATCCTGCTTTCAACAGTGTGCAACACGGAGTGCTGTAATTAGTGACTGCACAATATAAAGAGCAAAAATCTTAAAACTTTCTTCTTTTTGTGGTTTGCAAAAGGAAAACTGAACAATCCTTGTGGGGGCTGTGAACATGGAAGGTTATGTCCACCTGTGCTAGGAGCATACAAGCACAGCAGCCACTTACTCTGGCTCTTCCTTCCCATACTGTCTTAGATTTGGGGACTCTGGAGAATACATAGGAAGATTTTTTCGGCTGCTTGAACTTACAAATGTATTCTCTCTTTTAGTGTGGCAAGAATGGCCCCCATGGAGAGCTCTACAGTCCAATTTGAAATCATCCCCTACAAGAGCGGCACCAGACAGCTTCAGGTGGACTTGGTGTGCATCCATTTTTCAGACATTAAGGGATTTGTGATGCTCGATGTGGCGCCTGCTCAGTGATATGACCTGTACATCAGTTCAGTTTTGTCCCTGTTTATGAGACTGGTGCAGCGTTCATACATTATTATGACTGGGAGCACAGAAATGCAGACTACTCAGCCAAAGTAAAGTGATGTAATATGAATGGAAATTAATAAAAAGGTACCATACACTATACTGTAAAGACAGTGTCATCTTTAATTTCATAACCTGTTTTATGGACCTTCATTAATAGAATTACTAGTGGAAGTCATATAATTTAACTTGAAGGAGAGGATCAAGTGTGATGGTTTTCAGCATTACAGCCTGTAGCAGTGATACCAGCTAGATTTCCAAGGAACACCATTTAAAATCACTGGTTTTGTAAGCTTCTTTGAATATAATTTAATTATATTCACTAAATATGGTGTTTATTCAGTAACAGCCAAAATACTATCCAAGTAGCTGACATAATTCAATTCTAGAATTAAATTTATCATTTCATCTAATTACTAGAAGGAAAAAACAGCAGTAAGATATGACAGCGTTACAATAGAACTCTCTTCTTATGACTGGAAAGATGAGAAGCTATTCAATAAACAATACTTGTTCACGGATTCCCTATTCAGATCATAATTTAATCATGTGATAAATTATAAATAATGAAATGTTCAGCAAAGAAATGACTGGGAGTAACAGTACAAAAGCAGATAAAAGAAACACATCCTTGACTAAGGAGTGGCAAACACTAGAGCATCTGAAATAATAACAGGCTGGAATAGCTGTTCCTGGAAACAGGAATGAAGCAGAATGTCATTAGACAGTAAAGAGGTGATTTGTCACCTGGACTAAGACACATTTATTTACACACACGGCTCCTCACACATGGACCGCTGTCTCAAAATGCCCGGAGTTCTCTCTGGGTGAACTAAATGAATGAATGAAACTTCTCCAAGATAAAAGCATAAATCATTACCACAGCCAACCTGACTGAGACCAAAACACATTACATTTCTATCACTGATAGACTATAGTTAAGCACTATGCAAGTTTTCATGTGTACACAAGTCACAAATTCACCTCCTCATACAGCCTCAACTATCACTTACTTCACTTGGCTCTACCAGGAAAAAAAGACAAGCATTTGGCTCCTGGAAGGAGGGGGGGTGGTATTGAACAAGGAAAATATAGTGCAAGAGCCCCTATACTATGGGTTCAACTCCAAATCTTGTTCAACTGACTACATCTGTACAATCACCCTCTCCCAGAGAAGCTTCTGGATAATAAATTTGGCATTTTAATGTAAAATTGTATTTGAATCAACTGACATTTTAACAGCAGCTTCCATGAAATTTCTTGTTGGATAACACAGCAGTCAGATATGACAAACCCACAGAGGCAGAAATACATGGAAATTTTTGTGCAAGTCACAGAACATTTTGAGGAAATAGAGATGTCGCAGCAAGAGTACTCATGTGCACAGCTGTGCAGACGCACAAATAAAATCTCCTCTCTTCCAGAAGCATAATGTTTTATCCAAGTCTTAAACCTCCCTTTGCTAAAGCCTCCTTCTTCTATCAACCACATACGCAAAAGTATCATTCCTGGTTTTATCTAAGACAATATAGTCTTTAGAGATATATTATTTATGCAGTTGCACAGATATACACAGAATTCTTAGAAAAGATGCAGTAAGAAAAAGTCTTTGCCTCAGTTTACTCTTTTTAATGAGCAATAAAAGGAAAACATAAATAACTTCTCTTTTTACAGGTGGTTAGATCTGTAGGACATGTGAAATGTTAAGAATTCATAGGAAAAGAGAACACTGAACTCAAGAAATCATTCTGTTTTCATCTAAACAAAATGCATTCAGTTTCCGTGAGTCCAAGAGAACATGACTGCAACTGGCGCTATGCAGTGTGGAGCCACAAATGCCAGAATAGCTACCAACACCTCAGAAAAAAGAAAAAAAAAAAAAGAAAAAAAAAAGAAGGAAAAAAAGGTAATTTTAAAAAGAGTTTACAGGAGGGGAAAGACTGATTCCTGTTCCCATTAGGCAGAAAGAGGGGAAAAAATGCAGCTGATGCAATGAATAAGTAAATTTCTCAATACTCTGCCTACTTAGGTTCCCAGTTTTGCAAAGGAGCTACAGAAACAGTTTCAGACAAAGCCAAGACTGATACCTATACTGTTCTGTGTACAGAAATTACCTAAATACTTTCTATTAAAACTTTTCTAACTTAGGCACAGCTAAAAACTTTCCAGACTTATATGTAACTCTGAGGCTGGCTGCTACGTTTCATTGCATTTTAAATACAAATGATGGACAAGACAAAAGTGTCAATTTGGAAGATTTACTGCAGGAAAAACTGACAGCGCTATCATACTGACCCACAGCAAAGGATCCCAAACTGTATCTTCTTCGTAAGGAACTGCAGCAATTGCCTTGGAGTATTTACAAAGGCTTTGCTAAGCATAAACACGACCAATTTCACAAGGAGAAAATTAATGTGTGTGTGGACCCACTGCCAGTGCTCTCTGGCTTTGTAATCTCATCCCCTACTAGTCTGAATCTGTTCTAGGACTAAGAGGCAGCAGCAGCGATCAGAAGCCGTAACCAACACAGGCAATCAGTCAACACATTGGTCCTAATTATTTTGGCATTGTGCATTTTGATAAAACTGGAGTGGGGGCTGGGGAAAACATTGGGTGTTTTTACTTTGCTCCAGGTCAGAAACTTCTCATGGTTCTACCGGGACAACTGGCCAAACTTGCCTACGAGACCACTTGAGAAAAAGCAGCCTGCGATGTGTATTTTTGTTTTGTACCGGCACGACCTTCAAGGTTGTTACTTGTCCACGCCTGCTGCCACACACTTCACCCGGCCCTTTATCTGTATCTTACAAAACCACGGTATCTACCCTCCCAGTTTATGTCAGAGGAAGTTCCACCTGTTTCCTTTCATGCAGGTATCGTAAAGCAGACAGGAAAAAAAAGACCGATTTTTCTGTTTGCAAAGGCAGATAGTTTGCAATGCTGCCAGAAGTGCTCGGGAAGCACAGGGTGGGAAGAAAGGCTCAGGACAATATACATCAGAAGGATCTATGAAAATTCACAATTAACAGTCACACATCCACATTTCACAAAGCTGCTTAAAGTAGATCAGCATCCTCCATGAGGAAAGCTTTATGCCACCAATATATAAATCCAAATGCGTCCGTTTATTCCTTGCAGAGTTAACAAGCCAAAATAGCAAAGATCTGAATGTTCCTAGGAGATAATTTGCCCTTTTCCTCCTGACAACACCTACTACTGTCCAGCAATGCAGTCCCAACTTGCCCCCGAAAGAATGTTCCACGGACACAAACTGACTCTGTGACACAGATTAAACTGAGGTCTCATTTAAATGTCTTTGATTTAAAGCCAACAAAACCTTCAAAACATGGAAACTCCTATTTTATTACATCAATTACTATATTTTGCCACCCACACATATAGCAACAAGGGATGTGGAAGCTTGTCAAAACTAGTCAGCCCAGAGAGACTGGAATGCAGATTGTAAAGGGGACACACCACACACACACACACACACACAGAGAGAGAGAGAGAGAGGAATTCAGAACTCTCCAGGACACGGCGAAGGGAATAGGCAGCTTTGCACCTAGCAATTAAGTCTTGCAGGATCTTGGAAAGTCAGGGTATGCAGTCCTTCACCAGCCTCAGAAAAGGTCTTGAGGTAGCCTTTGTGAAATACCTTGAGGTATTTCACAAAATCTCATTAAACCTTGCGAGGATGCAGACTGTCATTACATCCAACACACAGCACAGCCAACCAAGCCGTTCAAATCCCTTCAGCATTTCTTCTTCAATACAATCCGGGAAATTTCAGACAGTGTTTGTCACACGAGCTTGGAATGACCTCATCCTAATTAACTCTTTGTAAAGGAAGCCTGCTGTTCAAAGGAAAATCAGCCCTAACGCTTGCGCCAAGTTCCAGGCTGTGCAACACTGGGGGCTGGTGGCTTTTCAGGCTGTCAGCATCATTCACCGCCCCCAGCAACCCCACCCCATTCGCTTCCAGCCTTAAAATGTAGATCTGGCCAGCGCCGTGTACGAGAAATACACATTCTTCCCGCGTTAGACATAAGACAACTGTTCAATTAAACTAATGATTATTACACAGAAAAATGTGTAAGTGCCCCAGGAAGGATTTAAATAGCTTTTGTCAAACCCACAATCTTTACATAGCCCTTAGTCAGAAGCCAATGGGAGTTGTTGGAGTAAAATATGGCTAATTATCAGTATTTTTCTTTATAAATACGCAGTTTAAATCTGCGCATGCCCAAAGGCTGACCCAGCCCTAATTGCATTCTGAACACTCAAAAAAATCAAGCGAGCACTTGCTGATACGACACATTCATAATCTGAATCGGCCTTGAAAGACATTAAAATCAGTCTCCAGGATGGTGCCTGTTTGTTTCTCCCCACCATCCTGTTCTCCTGATCTGAGTTTCTAGAGCCTTGATTCAGGCAGTCAATTAAATTACTACCCTTTTACAGATTAAAAACAAAACAAACCAAACAGAAATAGCCATAGTTGGTAGTTTCAAATCAGTTGATTCTTTCGGCGGTCACCAGAGCTCCATGGCTTTACCGCTCGGTATCTATCACTCTTGTGCACCACACGTGGAGGGTACTGCTCACTATTCAAGACGAAACAAAAGGCACAGTGTAAGCATTTCTTGTTGCTCTAAAGAAACAAGAAATTCCACCAAAAACGAAAATTCACATCCAATTCATGGATGTGCCATGTAAGAGCTGGAAATGTAGACACAATAAAAGGGAAACTTAGATGTATGGAATTTTTGATCACTACATTCAGAAAGAGACCCAGTTATTAAAGATGCTCACGTAACATTTTATGCTTTTATTTTTATAGGTAAGAAGGATTATAAAGATTTTTACAGATTTATGTTTGGACCTGTAAAACAACAAGAATCCCCAAGCACAGTGAAGACAGTAACACAGTAATATCCAGGCAG